CATATCTAGTTCCTATTATTTAGCCTACAGATCAGCCTACAATCTGTAACTTATCTAATCCCTACAAATCAGCTATCTAATCCCTACAAATCAGCCTACATCTGTAACTATCTAATCCCCACAAATCAGCTATCTAATCCCTACAAATCAGCCTACAATCTGTAACAGAACCAAAATCACCACTTCTTTTATTTTTTAATTTTTTTCCAGCAGGGAAGGGATGGGACTTAAGAAGCATGAGGGGGTAGGGGGATTTGAACCCAGGACTTCTAATTCCTAAGGCCTCAACCTTAGCCACTAGACCAAGGCCTCATTGGCACCAAAACAAGGAGACTATCAACCCAGGGACTAAAAGACCCAATTCACCAAAACAATGAGCTATCCACTTTTACAGAACTGGTAAAAGGCTAAACAAGCGCAAATAGCAGTATTTAGCACATCAGAAATGAGAAAAACGCCTGAAGAAAACCCAGAATCATAAGTCGCAAAGAGATCTTATTTGAACAAGGATAAGCAGAAATGCACAAGCTGCATAAATGCATGGCCACTCTATGCCTGTGACTTCAACACAAGAATACTGCAAACAACAAGAACACAAGGCTCAGATCTGAATTTGACCAAGTATTAAGTTTGTGACACCGCCATGGCTGCAAATCACTAGTTGCGCTACAGTGAAAGAAACTAATACACAGAAACACCCAAGTAATAACTGTGCCATCCAGGTTGCCTACCAAGATATGGGTCAATTTATAAAATCAATGCCTTTTTTTCCTAGCTCACTACAAATATCATCCTAGCCCTCAACACTTTAGTCTTTTCTTTCCTATACTTCTCCAAGGCCTTTGGTCAAAGAGCAAACCAAATAACATAGAATTATAACTACAGTCTAAGTTTCAATTAGTAGTAGTAACAGCAGCAGCAGCAGCACTGATTACTGGAAATCAAGGACGGTTTTTAAATTTGGTTAATTAACGAAGAAATCATAGGCATAAAACAATGAGGGAATCCCATCTCTCTATTTGCGTCATTCTCTGAGCTAAATTTACTAGCTAAAGATTCCCACCATGGCAGAGCCACTTGTTGCTACTGCCAACTAAATCACAACAAATCTCTCTCTCTCTCTCTCTCTCTCTCTCTCTCTCTCTCTCTCTCTCTCTCTCTCTCACACACACACACACTAACTAGAGAAAGGCCCAGATATGCACAGTAAAAATCAGGCTAAGAGGAATGGGAACCAACATGGCTGCACACCCAATTGCATGTCATGGACTCCGGAAAATCCATCTCAAAAAATGCCATCACGGTTGCCCCCACCCCCAACCCCCACAAAAAGATACAGGTCCAATTAGCTCCCTTCCTGATATTCACAACTCAAAAACAAATAGTGAAGTACCATCACAGCCTAGAAATGCATATAATAGCACACAGGAAAAGAGGCAGAGTGATTAAGGGTTTTGTGCTGTTACTATGAGGTACTGCTGCTGCTGCTGATAACAGCTGATTATTTTCCCAAATATATTTGCTTACATCATCATTACAATTTCCAATACACCTTTTTATCTTTTCAATTACCTTTTTATTTCACATACATCACATCACAAAAAGTGCTACAGTAAAAATATCTCAAATAACTTACAATCCAAACAAACCCATTAATGATGCTATAGCATATAGAATAACTCCATTTTCTTCTGTTGCTAAGAAGAGCTATTTTTCATTTTTATTTTTGTTCAAAGACTGAGAAATCATTGGGAAAATAGCAGAGAGAGAGAGGGGCAACCACCCTTGGAAACTCCACCAGAATCTCTCCCTGCACCCTCATTCTTCATTCTTTCTGTCGAGAGAGAAATGCCTCCTGATGCCCACTTATATTCATGGTTCAAAGACTCGGGCAAATAGGAGTCAACATGAAAGCCCCTAAAATTTGCAGAATCCAGAATTGATGGCAACTTGCTCGAACTCAGACTATTTATATTGAGTCCACTGAGTGAGTAAAAAAAGAAGCTAAATATCCAAGTCTACCCATTGCAACAGAGGCCAAAAAAAAACTAAAATTTATGGAAAGGTAACAATAATCCTCCAAGAACATCCGAAAAACAATCAGTTTGTTTGGATACAACAGTATTTGGAAAACATTACTAATTGCATCATCAACACATTTTCCAATCAGCTTTTCATCTTTTCAATCACCTTTTTTCTCACATACATCACATCATAAAATGTGCTAGACTGTTACAATATAAAATTTTCCAAACAGCTCTCCATCCAGAAACACCTAATTTATAAAACAAAAATCCCCAAAAAAATAAGAAACTAATCTCCATACTCATCTTCAGGCCAAACTTGTCTCCTCAAATACCCTAAAAAGAGCAGTAAGTGGGTGGGAGAGAAGGGGAAGGGGAACGGGAACGTCAAGTGCAACTGAAGCTTCATTGAGCAAGGAGAAGGTCATTGCGGGGAGGGAGTGGGCAGTGTGATGGAGAGGAGAGGGGAAGTGACCCTTGGGTTGGAGTGGAGTAGGTACTGGCAACACGCTAGTAGGCTTAAGTTGTTTAGTGAATGCTGTTGTTGAAAAGGCATTTAAGGTGGAACGAATAAGGGATCCTTTTTGCATGCGTTTACAACAAGAAAAACATCAGGCTCAGATCTGTAATTGATCAGGCATTGAGTTTGTGACACTGCCATGGCTGCAAAACACCGGTTGCATCAAAGAAAAGTTCGTGATTCATCAAAACACCCCCCAAAATGATACCGTCCGGGTTGCCCAACCAAGATACAGGTCACTTTATATCACCAATCCCTTAGTGCCTAGCTCATCTAGAAATATCATCACGGCCTTTAACATCTTAGCAAAGCAAACAATGGAAAAATACATCCGCAGTCTTTGGTTCAGCTAGAAGTAGTAATAGTAGAAGCTGAAAACTAAGTACCAGAAATTAAGGGCTGTTGGTATTTATTTTTGGGTAATTAATGAAGAAATCATAGGCTCAAACAGAGAGGGGCAACCACCCTTCTAAAATAAATCCCATCCCTCTGTTTGCCTCATTCTCTGAGCTATCGACCAGTAATAGATAAACCACCATTTTGAGGATTTCCATAATGCCAGAGCAATATGCTTCCTTCCAGATAAAAATTGCAAAAATGTCTATCTCAAACAACACACACTAACGATGGAGTTAGAGTACTTCTAGAGTAAGGCCCAGATAATATAGAAAAAAATAAATAAATTAGGAAAAGGAGGAAGGAGACAGCCATGGCTGCAAAGCCCAGTTGCATGTGACGAGGAGGAAAAGAACCCATTTTGAAATAATGCCATCTGGGTTTTGCCCAGCCAACATACGGGTCCGGTTGCCTCCATTCACAGATTCCAACACAACAAAATTTTCTAGTACCATCACAGCCTTATGAGTAGTGACCACTGCTGATGCTGATGACGGCCGATGAGGATGAGGAGGATAACCATAACGAGGACGATGACTAGGTGTATAAACCGCGCAATAGCTTTTCTATTTTTATTGCCTTTTCTTTTCAGTCAAGGGCTGTTGATTTTTTTTTTTTTTTGGCGAAAAATTGCTGAGAATCATCGGCATTGTAGAAAGAGGGGTAACCACCCTTAGAAACTCCCTCAAACTCTCTCCACAACCTCATCCTTTCTGTCTAATATCCCTTCTTCTTCTTCAGGGCTCGCAGTTCAGAACATAGTCAATAAAAAACCGACCCGGATATCAACCCGGTGGAACCTCGAACCGGGTAATGAAGAAATCATAAGCTTAGCAGAGAGGAGGAGCAAAAACCCATCTCTCGGCTGCTTCGTTTTCTCAAGCTAAAACTAGACGAGCAAAACCAGACAAAAAGAAAGGCTCAGATCTGTCAAAAGGTCAGGCAAAGAGGGAGGAGCACCGCCATGGCTGCAAACCCAGGTGCATTTTAGCATGGAGAACCCATCTCAAATAATGCCATCAGGAGTTTGCCCAGCCAAGTTACGGGACCCGTAAACTCCATGCCCGATTTATAACTCAGAAAGAAAGAGAAATGTCATCACAGCCTTATATCAAACAAGAAGAAGATGATGATGATGACGAAGATGACGGTGATGATCTTGATGCAGAGAAAGAGTGAAATGATGATAATAATAATAATAATAATAACAATGCATTCTTTCGTCTTCTCTCCGAAGGGCTGTTGATTTTTACTTTAGCGGGTCTGACAGAAATCATCGGGGAAATGCAGAGAGAGGGGCAACCACCCTTACAAACTCCCCAGCTCTCTCCCAGCGCCCTCATTCTTCTGAGTTGATTCTTCCAGTAGTATTATTCTTACTGAGTTGTGAATTGCGGGCGGACCATATACAAGCAGAGTGACAAGGGTTGCGCGGCTTCCTCGAACAGGGCTTGCTTGTTTAACCAAAAAAGACTGCATTATTTACTTTTAGTACACCTTATTCAGACTTTGAATTTGAGATTATACTCCAATCCAAATATGGAGTTAACAAAGACCCAAGCCACCATTCTAGCATTTTGTTCCATTTAGATTAACGTAAATATTTGTAGTAGCTAATATTTGGTGTTATGAAACTATTGGACTGTATAACACACCACCAACCCCAGCGGGTAGCTCGGTTGGTTAAGACTGATCGTCCGTAATTACAGCAAGATCTCAGATTCGACCCCACATGTTACCGTTATTGAGTATCTTTGTTGGATATTTTTGGGACAAAGCTCAGCCCAACCCAACCTGAAAGGATTAGCCTCCAGACCCGAAAAAAAAAATATATATATATATAACACACCATCAGCTTTTCTTGAACTACGCAGGCCTCAAAAAGAAACATAATGTACATTAAATTTTCTCCAAATTGACTTGCATTACTTGTTAAGATGGATGGTGCTCCTCCAAAGACCCAGGACGCCAGGAGATCTCGATTCTTTATAACCATATTCTTTTTTTTTTTGTAGGAAAAAGGGTAAATTAACTACTAATAAAACGTAACACAGGAAGTCTGATGCAATAGTAACTTCACATTTTACCACTGTCCATTGCAATGGTAGCTTCAGAGCCATATTCAATGCAATAGCAACCAAATGTTAAGTAGACTGAAGAGTGAAAACCAGACACTGATTGCCCCACAAACCTAGCCTTTTTACCAGTATACAAACTCCTGATTGGTTAATCTCCATGAACCATGATATATGGAAAACGAACAAATAAACTTGGGATTTACAAAATGCACTTCGTGTTGAAGCCTGGTTTGAAATGAGATAAATGGTACATCCTTCAGAGGGATGGAGTCAGTCAGTCCTCAGCTTACAAAAACTGACTTCCTTCATCTTTTGCCTCAGCAATGCACAACATTGTCACGTCTCTATTCCCCCTATGAGCAGTAGTCGATACACTCTTCTGCATCTTAAAAACAAAACCTGAACAAACATACATACGGCAGCAACAAAAGAGGCTCTCACATTGGAAGGGCTGCTTCAGCAAGAAAATACGCCACAAAAGTAATCAGAAATCTACTCATTACCCTCTGGCTACTACAATCATATCCTTTTGTACCACAGTGAACATGCTATGAATGACGTATACGTTGATGATCCATCATGAAAATGTAAATGCTGCAAATCCTGGATTTAACCGAAGCTGAATTGTATTGCCCTCGCTTCTTATACCTGGTAGATGCTATAAGATCCTGTAAGGAATCTGTTTCAAACGCATCCCAAAAGCAGCTTGAAAGAGTAATAAAACTCACCCATGATATTCAAATCAAGTGTATCCATTCAAACCAACATTAGAGCAGCAGGCAGGACATGTAAAACACATAATTTCGCTCAACATTCTCCAACTATAAAACTATTTTAAAATCCTACAAGTGCAAAACGATTGCTCGTGCAGATCCAATGATGTCTGACAGCTAACTGTCACTAACTGCAACTTTTAATCCAATAAACTCAACTGAAGGACCAAGGTATAATTCACAGCTACACACATTTTCCACGTACCAAACATTTAGCAAAACACAGTCCATATTACTTCTCTACCAAAATGAAATTAATTGTCAGATAATGCATGACTGAAAGCAAATTCAATTCCGTTAACCCTGCATAAATGTGGAATTTGAAAATCAATGGAGCTCAAAACAAACTTTTAGCAAGCTTTTGTCCCCTAAATTGCCAAAACAGTGAACTGGTGGTTTAAATTCTCCCAATGTAAAGATCCATCTGATTATTAACTAGAATGGAAAACCCAGACGTTCCCACAATAATGTGATTTAAAGCCTAAATTTAAATAAAATCAATCATCACAACAGTGGACTTGGTTAAAATTCTCATTCACGTAAAGGTCCATCTGATTCTTAACTAGCATGGAAAAAGCAAAACTCCTCCAATAATGTATCTAAACTTCAACTTAAACAAATATAAGGCTAAATCTCTTTCTAATTAAACCCCATTTAGAGGGGGTTTACAAGACTTCCATAACAATAAAATCACAAAGGAGGTTTTACTTTAGAAATCATCCCGGCTCATGAGTGTAATAAGTTCCAAAATGTGCAATTTCTTTTTTCATTTTCTCTTTTTTCAGAAGGATTGTTTTCCATTGATAGGCACAAAATATCTTAAGATTTATCGATCCTAGCTAAGGCATGTTTCCTATAAAAGCCAACTATTACTCGGAATTCCTACATGCATCAAAAATAGTTTGTGATTAATAATAGAGTTATGAGGACCTTTAGGCCCTCATCTACAATTTGAAGTACTAAATGAGATGAAATATGCATTGCTTAACGCAAAGTTGGTTGCTTAAGATACATAGCTCAACCCTTGGGAAAATTGACACTACCAAGATTAATTTTTCTTCTTTATTTTCCTTGTTAGTCGACCATTGCCATGATTATCAGCAAAGAACCATAATTCATCAAACATTTAACAAGACAGAACAATCACCATTCCAAATTTTCAATGACCTCAAGTAGAAATAGAAGATGCTTCCAGCCAAGAGTATAGCAAAGAAAGAATTCAACCACACAATTACATGTGTGGTACATGCTCATCAATATAACTCAACTTTCACTGGTCTAAGGACGATAACAGAAAGAGAAAGATTGAGAAAAATGTAGAAAACTCTTAAGGCCTCAAGAGAAGCTCTTTCTTCTTTTTACTTACGGGCACCCTTTTGCTAAGCTGGTAAAACCATGTTGGTTGATACTGGCACACCAGAAAAAGACTAACTCCTCGAGGTAGGTAATCAACTGGAAGGGTCTTTTGAAGGCTTTCAGCAGAAGATCTGCTAAACAAGTATGTATGACCACCAGAATCAATGTCTGGATGTTCATGAGCAAGTTCAGAATTATTCATTCAAAAGCAGGGTCTCTTTCCCACTTTAGGTCAAGATTACTGAAAGAAAATGCGACCTTGAAAGTAAATCAAGCATATCCAGTATAACTACAAATCCAATAGACAAACTATATACTAAAGAGTTTAGACAAGGTAATAAACCATCGTATGCACGGTTTAACCAGGCTCAGATCTTGTAATAAGAAGAGGCAAAATGTAGAGTCAGTACCACCATGGCTACAAAATTCCAGTTGCATATGTGAATTTAGACAAATAGAACCAACCCATCTCAGCTCAGTTGCAATCCGGTTTGCCAGCCAAGATATGGGTCAGATTGAACTCCAGGCCCCATTACAAGCACCAGAATAGGATTTTATCATTAAATCCTCAAGCATTTTCAGAAGCCTAAAACCTGATCAAGCAAAAGAAAGCTTGTCAAATAATACAAGGGATTATCAAATACATATACCACCATGCCGTTTCAAAATTCTTCGCAAAGAAGAATATGGCATAAGCATCAGCATTACAAAACAGACTGCTGTCTCAGTCATACAAAGGGCTGTTAATTTTTTTAAAGAAAAAATTGAAAATCATTGGCAGAAACAGAGGGAAGCAACAAGCATTTAAAAACTCTCCCAGCACTCTGGCAACCTCATTCATTTCTCTTAAGTTTTGAATGTCTCATCAAAGTTGGATTTCTTTCAGCGCCACATGTACTCTTTCCACCTTTTTCTTCCTGGTCCAATATTTATTCTCAAGGTGTTCATTTCCATGTAAAAGTAAACTCTCCAAATTTATGACCAAATTTTCCTTCACTAATCTTACAAAGAACAGTAGTGGTTTTTCCATTAAATTCTTACAAAGCAATCAACAAATTCCACAAACTCGAAGATCTATGTAATATTTATCATGAATAGACCTCATTTTTATTCTTGGAGTTTATTTCGCTTCTGAGGAAGAATGCATTCCCTCCTGCATAAATTCATATAAGATAACAAAACCAGCCAAGAATGCCTCAAGAAACTGGCGATAATGGTATTGCTTTTCACATTTTGCGATGGTAGGCAAATGGGTCAGCAGTCTCTCATTACTAAAAAGTGATTCACCATTCAATGGTAGGCAAATAAGTCCAAAAGTTCTAACAAATGATTTTTATCAATAACCCAACAAACTACATTAACTCTGTCACATGGCATGGCATAACTCATACGGTAAATCATACTATTACTAATTACCCACATCTTCAAACCAAGCTCGCACAAAATTGACCGGGAAACTAAGTTATAGTATCATAATTCAAGATCCAGTGGCAAACTAGATTTGTTAGGCCCTGAAAAAGGTTGACCATTAAAATCAAGGGTGCTAAAGAACAAGCAATTACCTAATCTTAAGCCGTCTGAAAAGTAAACAAAAGTGGACTTGTCTAAGCTCCGTTCAGAAAGGTGACATGGGGAAGCAACTAATAGTCACTTAATCTTCTATAGGATGTTCTCCAACAATAAGATTCAACCACAACAAAAACTAATTATGATCTTAAGAACTTTTCCATGCATGAAATTCTCCAATAAACAAGCTCAATAGCAAAACCAATAGAAACTAACACTCCCTTCTCCAATACACGCTAGTTTTTTGTTTTTCTTGATTCATGATTAGTTGAGGTACATTCAAAAGTAGTCAAAAGTACAAAAAGAAATGTTATACCTAGGCATCTAGCAATGATATAATTTGGACAGACAATCCTTTCATCGGAGAATTTTAAAAAGACACCAAGGCATCACTTCCATAGATAGTTTAACTAGGCTCAGATATGTAGTGGGATGAGGCAAAATGGAGCAACAACACCGCCATGGCTGCAAAATCCCAGTTGCAAAAGTCAATGAGAAAGAACACATGCCCCCGTTTCAGCTCAGATGCCATCCGGGTTGCCCAGCCAAGATACGGGTTGGATTTAAACTCCACATGCCCCACCACCAACAAACTCAAGAAAAGATTTTTATCATCACGGCCAAAAACCATATCCAACACGACCTTAAACCCTAAACCGAAACACCAGAAGGCTTTCGTAAACTGCTGATAATTAAGCCATTTGCCGAGAACGATCAAAGAAGATTGCATCGAGTAACAGAAGCAGAAGCAGAAACCAAAAAGGCAATAATTTAAGCTTCCAAGAACATCCTCAATCTCAACGAATATCAAGATTATCAAATGCTTCCAGAAGAAATTGGGAAATGTTTTTCTTTTCGTTCTGCAAAGGGTTGTTCATATTTTCCCCCCTTCTCTTTTTGGAAGGAAATCATTGGCCAAAAAAGAACAGAGGGGGCAACAACCCTTTAAAAACTCCCCGGCCCTCTGCTGCCTCATTCGCTTCTCTTGAGTTTTTTCAGTCTTTGTGGGCCGAAGCCCTGACTTGCATTGCTTCCGCCTGCCGTGGACAGAAAAGTGAACTTTCCACCGTAGATGTAACCGACCAATTTCTGTGAGTAGACCCTTATATATTCCCGTGGCGCGAAACCCAAAGACACTAATCGAAACGGAACAGGACCGACGTGAGTGGCTCCAGAAACGGTAACGTTTGGCCTAAAATGTTCGTGTTAGACTAATTGATTTCTTCTCATATTCTTTTCTTCGCGGGTAAATGGCAAATTAGTAGCCTTTTGGTACATTACCCACCGTTTGGATTGGACTACTTTTTGCAAGCTAGTTTTTTTGCCTAGGGGTGTCAATCGGGTTTTTCTGAATCGGATCCAGCAAGTCCAAACTCATTTCACAAGTTATATGAACTTTTGAATTTCTAACTTTTGGAATTTGAACTCAAATTAAAAAGGTTCAATCTCAATTCACATGATCATATGAAGTTTGGGTTCAAATCGGGTTTGATCCAAACTCATAATTAAATACATAATTATATATAATCTATAATTTATAATTATAAATTAATACAAATTTACATATAAATTATTAATATTTTATGTCGTAATATATACTAATATTCAAGGCACATACTAATGTGTGTGCGACTAATAGAAAAAATATTTTTGAAATATTTTGAGTATATTAATTGAAATCATTTTCAAGAAAATTGGTTTTATATTTTGAAAATACATATGTAAAAAATTCACCAAAATAAATTTTATAAAAAGTAGTTATGTGGTAGTTATTCATAACCATAATTGGTAGTTGCTAATTAAAATTAAGATTTACTAAATGAGTTAAAAATAAAATATGAAAAAAATACATATTACTTGGTAAAAAATCATATTGTTAATGGGTAGTTATCAAAGATAAATAGACTTTTGTTTATACCAAAAATTCCCTCATCATCAAGGATAGTTTAGGAAGTATATAAAGTGACAAATTTTTGTTCACCCAACCCCCCCTCCCCTCCCTTTATATATAGTATAGATAATTATAAAATATAAATATTATTATATATATTTTTACATATATAATTATACTCATATATGAGTCGGGTTTTAATCAAACCTAAGTCTAGTATGACCTAAGGTCGGCTCACATTTAGTTCGAGTCTAATATTTAGATCCAAATTCTATCCACGCCAACTAAAGCTTAAATTTAGTAAGCTTTTTCGAATTGAACAGGCCGAATTCGGACATACCCAACCCTATTGATAATCCTAATTTTCCCAAACAATACACAAACAAAAAACAACTCCAAAAATACCTAATATCTCAAAAACAACTTACAAATACACAAAATTTTTTTTTTAAAAAAATCAATCATACCACCTTTTTTCCTTCCACGCATTACCACCACCCACCACAGTTGTCGCCACCCCTATCCTCTCTCTTTTTTCTTTATCTCCCTCCTACCTTCTCCTCCTCCCCCCTCTCCTTGCCCCACCTTCCTTCCCTCCTTTTCCCCTTGCCCCTGTAGTCCATCCCTTTCTTCCCCAGTCCACCCTAGATCACAAACCAGATCGCGACCTTCTAGTTGTGATTCGTGACTTGGTTGCAATCAAATTAGGTGGGAGAAAGGGAGGGGCAAGGTGGTTGGGGGAGGGAGGGGAGGAGAGAAGAGGAGGAGGGAGGAGGACGAAGAGGGAAAGGGAAAAAAGAAGAGAAGGAAGTGGTAACGATGGCAGGAGATGGTGGTGTTATTTTTTATTTTTAAAAAATACCCTAAAAAATTATAAATTCTAAAAATGCTCTAAAGTGCATCTCCAAAACACCTTTAAAAACACCCCTAAAAACACTTAATACTTATAATAAAAAAAATTCCACATATATTGGTACTTTAAAATATTTAAAAAACACCCCTAGTGTTTTTGCAAGGGCAGAATGAACACAATCCCAGTCCCAGTAGGCCGGCACTGTCAGTACTAGTAACAATTTCTAAGTCCTAAGACAAAAGATAAATCTAAGCAATTATTTAATGACATAACTAATCATCCTCCTATTAACTAAAAGAACACACAAATTATTCGAAGAACTCGAGCGCGTCGATTTCTCTCCCAGTGAGACATGACAATAATAACAACACCATCATCGTCGGCGCCATTATTATCATCGCCATCATCATATTCCACGGACACCGGCCTTGCTGATGGATGCTGAAGCCGAGCATGCTTCCTTAATTCAACATAATTCCCTGAAAAATCACACGATTCCAGAGCACAACTTCGTATCTTCGAGTTCATGTACGCACGAGCAGCTTGTACCACAGTCCATCCGCTAACGTTCCCCCGACAAAGAGGGCAGAGAAGTTCCCGAACCTGCCTGTTTTCAAGGGGTGAAAACCCGTTTGGCTGATGATCAGAAGTTGGTTTTGATGGGGTTAGTCCATGCACCTTACAGAACTGATAGAAGCAATTTGAATGGCGGTAGCTTGTGTCACAGATGAAGGGTTTACAGCCTTTTTCATGGGATGAACAAATTAACTGCACAGCGTTATGCGGATGATCCATGCATATGGGGCATCTTGCTTCTTTCCACTCTGAGTCTTCCTCTCACTTTTCCTCAGAACTAGTACTGTTTATTAACTTGTTCTTGCAACTTCTGCGATGATTATTGCTTGAGTTGACATCGTAAGGAGATGCCCTTTTGTCGATGAGAATAAGTTAAGGAATTCGGGTTCCTGTGAGATCCTTTCGGCATCCTTGATGCTGATCGATGCTATGCTGCTAAAAGGCTTTGTTGAGCACGATTTTCTTTTTCAGGACTGACAAAATGATCTACGGCTTTTCTCAGTTTCTTGAGTCGAGGATTACCTCCAAGGTTTTGAAAAACGAAGTAGTGGTAATTATTTATAGGACAGGAGGCAGTGAAACTAAAGGTTGTTTATTTATAGGACAAACGACGCGATACCGATGTAGGAATGGATTTTGTTTTCACTAGGAAAAGTTTGCAGATAATTATGGCGGTTATAATCTCTAAAATTAATCTTAGGATTTCAGTTCTATATAATCCTAAGTGGACTACATCGTCACAGTAGGTCTTTAATCTAATCTTAAGGATTCTAATTCTAAGTGGACAACTAATTACTTGACCCAAAAATTTAGGACAACTACAATTTTTGTCGTGCCAGCAATTTAGGAAATTACTATAGTGAAACTAATTACTATAATTTCGTTCATCTTGCTTTCAACTTTCCGCAAAGTTTTGGCCCAAGAGGAAATGTAGAACGGACAGTTTCTTTTTTTTTTTTTTTTTAAGGAAAAATTTAGGTAACTTCGGCTTCAATCACCACCACACCACAGATCGGAGCAAGTTTTTGCGCAACGAATCTTCTGTCCCACACCCTGTGCCACTCTCTGTCCCACTTTTTATTATATTGTTATTTCTTGTTCATAAACATCATGTTTTAGTTCGTTTTTGTTTCCTTAAAATTCAATAACTATTAATTCAGTAAAAAATAAATACAACAGTTTCAAAAAAGCAATATATAATAGAAAATTAAAAAATACAGCAAAAAATTCATTAAAAAATCTCATTTTTTATGCATTTTGATTTTTTGAGTTTGTTAAATTTTGTGCATTATTGAATTAATAGTTATTGGATCTTAAGAAAACAAAAAAGAACTAAAACATGATGTTTATAAAGGAGAAATAGCAATATAATAAAAAATGGGACAGAGAGTGACACAAAGTGTGAAACAGAAGATCCGTTGCGATGTTTTTGACACCATAAGCTGCTTAGAGAGTAGAATGGACAGTACTAAGTAGGGCACAACTATTTTATAATTTGCCAAAAGAGGGCCGAGGCTGCCATTCACTTTAATGACATTTAATTGCGCAATCGAAACTTACTACAAAGCGCTTAATGAAGTAGCTACCACTTGGCGCAAAAACTTTCGTGCAATTTTTTGGTTCATGTTATAAATATGGTGGTTCTTTTCCAATAGATGTGATGCAAGTTGCACAATGTCACTTTGGTACTTTAGTATTCAATTTATAGCTTAGTAGTTTGAAAAAAATTAATTACATTATAAATACAATTTTTAATCACTTTTCCTTGTACAAGTTACTTTTTCAATTTCACAACCCAACAACAACTTGGTGATGGATTTGGCCTGCCTTGAGGGCTTCTTTAAGAAAATGGGGCAGGTATTCTGAAAGGTTAATAGTCATGATTCAGTAAAAAAGAAAAATGTAAGACCCAAATTACATTTTTTTAAATGAATTTTAACATCATGTATGAGCCCATGTTTTACATTTACACGTTATTGAAACTGAATTACATTTTTAACAAAGGAGATTACATCCTATGTCTAGACTTGAACCCCATATTTCTCTAGCTAAGAATGCAAAGCTGATGTGAATCAATCAATAAATAGAAACAGGAAATGAGTTGGGTGACATTGGAGAAGTATAAATGAATGGTCCCAAATTTAAGACCTTTGCTTACACCCAAAAAAAAAAAATATCAATAAACAGAAAGTAGCGAAGACAAACTCACACATTAACCACTCCGGAATCGATTGGGAAGTGACATAGAAATAAAAACAAGTTGTTATCTTGCACGCTAGGAAACAAGACTCGAAAATTTCATCAAAAATTTACAAAATCAAATTTTAGCACCATATATACCAGTTTTAGCTTGATAATAAGCAAGTCAGGGAAATATGGTTCGAATTTTGTGGCCAATAGTTTAGGGTGGAAAAAGTATTGAATTCGAATCCTGTGTCTGATAACTACGGATGAAAAGGGTGGGAGGGTGGAAGGGAAAAAAAATCAAGAAGATATTTATAGCATGAAAATTCAGGATCACATAAATGAGACATGCCAATAGCCCGGGTTGAACAAAAAATTTCTGCAATCGATGCCCGAGCAACTAACTTGGATATTTCAGTCAGGGAAGCAGTAAGGCTCAGAATTCAGATCTGTGAAAGAATCAGGCTGAGGGGGACAGACACCGCCATGGCTGCAAAACCACATTGTTTCCATGAGCAATCTACTAGGCGCCCATGTTGCCCCGCCAAGATACGGGTCGTGTCACCCCAATGCCCACAAGAAGTAAGAACTCAAGAATTAAAGAATCAGATCTTCACAGCCTATAACAATGGAGGGGACCCGAAAACCAGCAGAAAGACTGGACCCATTCACGCTGGTGGTGACGGTGGAGACACGTTTTTACACGCGCGGGCACAAACAAATACTAGTAGATACCTTTCTCTGCCGGAGTATTCAGAATCTCAGAAACCAGAGCTGAAAAAGGGCTGTTAATTTTTTTCTTGCTTTGTTCTTTGATGAAATCATTGGCATGCAGAAAGAGGGCAACAACCCTTTAGAAAATTCCCCATTTTTCTCTCTGCAGCCTCAATTCATCCTTGAGTTCATTCTGGTCAAAAAAAAAAAAAAGAGGCTTTTTGGTGGAGCCGTTCTCTTCTACACAGACGATGAGGTCCACTTTCGTCCTCCTATTTACCAAGTTTAATGGGGACTAGCACAGTAAAATGCTTTTTGGTAGTTTATGAGGAAAAAAGGAAACCATAAAAAGAACAAAAATTAATGCACGGGTAATTCTAATGCCAAAATGTCTAGAATGGGGCACCTTTTTTCTGTAAAGACAAAAGATTTTAGCTGAGTTAATATAAGTCATTTATATTTCTTTTTAATATAATAACCTCAAAAGCCAAGGGGATTATTCTAAATAATTCACCTTTATTGAGGGCAATTACTGAAAGACTTTCTAAGGTTACAGCAACCTAAAATGTAGATCATAAATATACAAAAATACCAGTGATTTAGTTCTAGAATTGTTGAACTTTTGTTAAAAAAACTGAAATATTGGCGCAGAAGGCAATTATCATTTTTACCCCAAAACATAGAAAGTAACATGAGATACTAAAGGGTTAGAAAATTTAACATGAAAAATTTAAAGAACGAGGCTAAAGCATCATCATCATACACAGGGTGAGTACTGACGTAGGCTCAGATCTGTAACAAGACGAGGCAAAAGAGAAGGCGACAGCGCCATGGCCTGCAATTTCCCAGTTGCATATGTGAAGGAGAAAGGAGGAGCTAATTGAAGCCCACCCGCTCTCAGGTCACATGCCATCAGGGTTGCCCAGCCAAGATACGGGTCGGATTCAACTCCACGCCAACAACTCAAGAAAATAACTCTATCATCACAGCCTGAAACCTTCACTAAGCAACAAAGCCCTGATGAAGAAAAATGCTTTGTCGAAGGTGATCACATCAACAATGAAAAGTTTTCATGAAATGTGATGACTTCTTGACAAGCACTTTCAGAGATAATCAAACGAAGTCCCCAGTTCACATTCCATTTCCAAACGCAGAATTCAAGAAATAATACTACTGTATCTGTCTGTCTGCTTGGAAAGGGCTGTTGATTTTCTATGTTCTTTCTGTATATACAAGAAAAATTGGAAATCATCGGCAAAACAGAGAGGGGCAACAACCCTTTGAAAAACTCCCCGGCCCTCTGGCTGCCTCATCCATTCATTTTTCTTGAGTTTCGACTCTTTTAAGGTCTCAAGCCCCAAGAGGCTGAGACTTCATCATAACACTGAACCTTATTTATGCTAGTGGTGTCTCTTCCCCAAGGAGAAGGGCACGAACACCGATACAGTGCGGATGATACAACAGCAAAATTGACCAGGCAAGTCCTTAGAGCATCGAGAAACAATAGGGTGTAACACGCTCTATTACACCCATGTATCGAATCCACTCCCATTTTTTTTTTTTTTTTTTTTTTGGTCAAATAATCCACTCCCATTGTTGGAGCTAATTCCTTTTATTATTGTCAAAGAAGAAAAAATCGCAACAATAATATTATTCTGACAATGGTCTAGTATAGAATTATACCTACTAGACTAACTAAACCCGATAGGTAAGAGAAATTTTTTTTTTTTTTAAAAGATACGCTATCGGACTGTCAATTCAACAGTCCGCAACCATTTTTTTTTTAAACCGGGCTGACTAAACTCGGTAACCATCGAAAATTTTCAAAAAAGGTGAGGCCTAACTGATAGCTTGCAGCTTAACTTTTTTTTAAAAAAAAAACTTGTAGGCTGCCGAACTTTCTTTTTGATTTTTTTTTTTAATGTTCAAACATAAGAAAAAAGTTCAAGCAGATTTGCTAAATCAATTATTTTTATTTTATATTCAACCCTAAGAAAAGGTTTTAGATAAAAAAATCTCATTCAATTTATACGAAGATGCATTCCCCAAATCTTAATGTGCAACAGTCAATGCATATTTAAAAATCTTTGAAAGATAATCACTGAAATTATTATGTATAAGATTTGGTTTTATATTTTTATAAAACATATAGAAAATTGATATTTACCTAAATAAAATATACAAAGAAATTATTATTTGATAGCGGGTAGTTATAAGAATAGAGGTAGAAGCAAATATGATATTGGGTAATTAAACATAAAAAGTAATTATTAATCTAAACTATAATTTGACAAATATAACATTATTGTGGAATATAAAAATGGTGAAATGGTGAAGTTATTGTGCAATATAAGAATAGATCTCCAGGGCCTGGCTAAAGATGCAGCTCGGCGAGTAGAAATCATTTCTAAAAAAAAGAGTGCTTCTGAAGAATGGGGGTTCTTCCAGATTGTCAATGATGGGATTCCAGCGTTTTAAACAATCATTGAGGGTACCCATCAGTTTCATGAACAAGATACTGAGGTGAAGAAATAGTAATATACCCATGACTTAGCAACAAAAATGTCATATAATAGCAATTTTGATCTATATCAAGCATCAGCAGCTAGCTGGAGAGACTCAATGCTTGAATTTTTTTATACGAGGGACTCAATGCTTAAAAAGTTAGCCAAAAAGCCCAACAGCCTCCAAGTTTTTCTTTTTTTTTTTTTAAGTGAGGCTACAGGCCGTCGGGCTGATAGCCCATAGTTTTTCTGAATTCCAATGGCTGCCAGGATTAATTAGCCCAGCAGCCAAACATTTTAAAAAAAAAAAATTGTTGTGGGCTATCGAGCTAACAGTCCCGTAGCCTAACTTCTTTTTAAAAATTCGTTTGCTTACTGGATTTAGTCAGTCCAATAGATATATTTCTACACCAGAACACTGTCAAGACAATATAATTGCGATTTTTTTTGGCAATAATCAAAAGAATTAGCCCATTGTTGGAGTATTTGCTCCATTACGGACAATAATGGTATAAAAGTTGAGAAGTGAGCCACTCTGGCCAATCATTCAATGCTTCTTGAAAGTTTTGCATGATTATTTTCAACATATTTGCAACGGAAGTATTTTGCTTACTTCTAATCCTCAAAATTTTGTCTATATATATCATTAAATTTTTTAAAATTTCTCACTTTCCTATTCCATCATTTCTCCTAC